AAAAATAAATAAATAAATAAAATTATTAATACTGAAGAATGCAGTTCCAGCATTTGATAAACACCAGTTGCATCCTAAAAATATCCACCCTTTCTTTCCAAAAAGGAAGCCCAGGATGAGACATTAACATTGAGCAAAAACTCAAATCTAAAAAGTGACAGCATTCTAAGGCTTGCATATCTCCACGCTCCCTCCATGAAGCCCTGCTCTGAGTGACCCAGAGGACAATGGGTTGTTTGCTGGCAATTATTCCCAGTCCTCCCTACATCATCTTGCCCACTGCTCTCCAAAAGCGACAGCCACAACTTACTTCATGGAAAGCTCGGCTCACTGCCGCAAAGATTGCATCCATCCGGGCGGCCATGTATAGAAAACTGAGCTCTTCAGTGTAACTTGAGAAAGAAATAATGCAGCCTCGGTCAGTACAGGAACAGAAAGATACAAAACCACCATCTTCCCCCCAGCTAGACAAAAGTCACCTAAGGCCATGAGAACAGGCAGCATAAAATGGAGGTAAATCAAATAAAATAAAGCCAAAATGTTTCTACAAACAAACATGCAGACATTTACAAGAGCACACAATGAAAAGATCCATGTAGCTCCCATCCTGAGAGTTAAAAACTCGGCTTTTCTCCCAGGCCTTGGGGTACAGTGCTTGTGGAGCCCCTCCCACTTTTGTTCCATGGTACATAGAAGAGATTTGTATTTTTTTTAAGTGTAAACTGCCAAAAGTTCTTCTGAAATCAGGCAGCCTCTAAATCATCACCATGATCATCACACCACCACCACCACCACCACCACCACCAATAACAACGCTCATAGGAAGGGGCTATGTGAAAAGAAAAGCTAACAGGTCTTTATGATTCAAAGAAATTAAAATGAGAAGGTTCAGCTGAGTCTTCCTCCAGAAACCAGAGTCGTGGGTTCTAGACACTCACTTTAATTCTTCCCAGTGGTAAGTCGTTTTACGAATAGCAGTCAAGACTTCTTTCTTCAGCTTCTTCTCCCCACTTTCACATGGAGGTACATCTTACAGAAAAACGTGAGAAAGTGTACAGGGATTATTGTTGCAATTGTTACATTTTTATCCCACCTTTCCTCAAGGAGGACAATGTGGCATACATCACTGTTCAGCCCCTTACCAGTTTATCTACACAATCAGCCCTGAGAGGTGGGATCAGCTAAGACACAGTGATCACCCCAAGATGATTCAGCTCACGTCACTGGCAGGACAGGGAGATTTGAGCTTTTGGAGAAAATCTGATTGAAAAATCAACTTTCCTACAGAATTTATTTTTATTTATTTGCTAGAGTCATGTCCCACCTTTCCTCCAGGGGCTCAGTAATTCCGTAAGATAGGATCGGCTGAGAGATAGAAACTGGCCTAAAATCCCCACTTATTTTGTCAAAGTGAGGAAAAACCTGAACCTGACTTGCTCCACTTCTAATCCAACATTTTAGCCATTACACCATCTTGACATTTAAAAATAATTCCCCAAACCCACACCACTTAAAACCAGGTCACCGCCACCGAGCAAGAAATGGGTCTTAATAGCTAGATTATCTGTGCTCACCAAAAAGCTTTCCATACACTTGGGTGTAACAAGAATTCAAAGGATTAAGGAACACATATCCGTCAATGAAAATAACCAATATGTGACTCTGCACATTTATCCAGAAACAATGCGTACAGGTTTGTAAATAAATGCAAAAGTTATAGATGAGATTCACTGCCATAGGAAATTGGGAGGGCTGCTAAAAAGAGCAGTGGAATCAGAATCAAATGAACAGTTCTTGTCTTCTGAATGCAATGCTAAGAATGAACCTCAGATATGAAGTTGAGGAACAAGCAAAACACGAGGAAGTGGTATTCTTCTAAACCATGTTAGCATCTTTGACAGATATTGCCTGTGGATGTAGGACAGGACAGGGTGGCAACATGGTGCTTGCAGATTCCAAGGTGGCCATTGCTTCCTGTTGCCCAATAAATATTAAAACCATTCTGTTTGGTTAAACATTACACAGTGGTTGAAACCTTGCAAGTGTGTCAAACCTTGTGAGATTCTGGCAATCTCAATATCTCACATGAAAATGCCCATGTCTCTTGTAAAATCTTAGAATAAGTTTATTAAAATATGTTTAAATAACATTGGGCCATTACAGAAGAGAAGGCTGCCAGTTCCTGGATTACCAGTTTAAACCTGTATGGTAATTATTAAGTTTTTAATTTCACACTTTAAAAACATAACTAAACAATGAAGACTGTTTGATTCTAAATTGAAAATTAAGAATTAAAAAAAATTAAATACCCTTATGCAAGCCAAAAAATAAGGCTGTTTATTACCTCTGTTAAAAACATTTATACATGAATAATTCCTTATGAAGTACATCTGCATAAATACATAGTAATTCTGAAGTGACATGGAGACTTAAGAATGTGCATTTTTCTTCTGCAAGAACGTAAAAGTAAAAGGAGAAGACCTCTTTTAAAAAAGCAGTTCCCAAAAACCTTTAGCTCATAAGCACTCCCTATTTTTTGAAGTTTTTAAAATGATTTAGTTCTCCCTGATCAGTTAAGGTGACTTCCAATCCAATTAAAAAATAAATACTAGTTTAGCAGAGATATTATTCTTCTCCTTTATTCATTTTAGTGGCCCACTTAGAGGATATGGGAAAAATTAATCAACAATCTTTAGAAATTAATTCCACCATAAATTTATTATCTGTATTTTTCAAAATTTAGGAATCTTTGAAGCACAAGTCATTATAACTGGTAGTTAATAACAACAAAAAGAGAAAAGCTGTTTCTTTTTTCCCTTTTCACATTCTCTGAAAAAACATGGATCTTGAAGAATCGAGAATCATCGCCAATCTCTGAGCAGCGAGGCTAAAAAGAAAAACGTAGAGCAGAGTTTTAAGTTCTACGCAGATTCCTTCGCTTAAGGATGTCTATCGAAATTTGATCTCCATTCTTTCTTTAAATGAACATGTTTTCTATTTAAAATTAGTACATTTCTCCTTATGATGTCACATCTAACTATTTCCCAAGTTTTCCTTCTGTTCTCCCAACAATTTTTTTTTAACTATCCTGTATATTTCTGATATTTTATTTCAATAAAAATTAAAAAGATTGATTGTTCCTGTCCTCTCTCCACCATCCACACCCACCTTCACCCTTCTCCTGGGCAGGGACTTCTGCATCTTTCCTCAGCTTCTGTCCCAAGAGTTGGGCTTTTCTACGTAGATCCTTCAACTCTACCGGGCGTTTGCGGCTCCAGAGGTAGTTGCTAAAGGATTGGGACTTCTTCTCCAAATTGCGTATAGGGGATTCTGGGAGAAAGAATAAGACTCATGACAGAAACCAAAGAGCTCCATTGGGCTCTAAGACAGGTACGGAAGTTAAAAAGCATTCCAGAAAACAACGATAATCCATCTTATTGCTAAGAAAATTATATGGGTATATCCATGAAGCCATCAAGGAATTTTGCTCAACTTAAGAATATCTTTATGGAGGTTTTTGTGACTGCATTTTATCATATTCAAACACATCTGAATACATTTGGTATATCGTTAGAGATGTACTGCCTGAGAGGCAGCTGATCAAGATTTAAACGAAAGAATAGAGAAATAACACTCTCTAAACTGATAAATAAGCAGGATCACTGAATTCACACTAGCACTTTACGCAGTTCAAGCAGAACACAAGCTGATATACCCAAAGAGCCCCATCTTTAATGAGATTTACTCACGGGCCACCCAAAAGGAAACCGCTTCCACTAACTCAGGCGGAAGCTGCACACATTTGAGATGGAGGACGCCTGGGTGTTTTCGGTGAGGAACTTTGTCCAGAAAATTTGAAGCATTATCTATCTGAGAGATGTTGGGAACAATTGTCGCCAGCCTCTGAGCAGGGAGACAAAAAAGAAAAACGTAGAGCAGAGTTTTAAGATTTAATCTTAGGTAGGCAAATCCCCAAATGGCACAAAATCATTAAGGACTACAAGACAGACTCCAATGTTCTTTCTCGAGCGCAGCTCTCACAAGAATATGCAGGCTTTAATTTTCAGACTTTTCGTTGTATCATTGGGCACGCATATTAACTTCTTCTAGAATGGGAACAATTAAAGTTATTATTTGACACCTTTGAAATCACAGCAAGTAGTATATTTGATTCTAATTACGATCAGAATATAGCTGTGTTCCCTGCATTAAAGCCAGCTAGTCACATTGCTATGTTACTGGAAGAGAAGCTAAAGTTTGATTCTTGTTCTCATAAAAAATTGCCTTTCTGGAATAATTCTTACTTAACAGGCAAAAGAGTGGGGGAGGGGTGAAAAACTGGGGCTGAAAATAGAGTTAATACCTAAATCCACTTATTGTTAACCATTAAGATTTTGGAGGTTGTGAAAAGAATACCACCTCCCTAAAAACGCTGAATGGCAACATATTTAATTAAACCATTTACTACAGTCTTAATTTGGACCTGAAGCATTGGTGGTCTTGGAAATACCAATGATTTTATTATTTATGTCAAGTTATATAACCACCCATCTCAAATTCACGACTCTGTTCAGGGAATACCTATTAAAATCTATATAAAAACAGAGAACTATATAATATATTGAGCGTCTTAAAGGTTTTTTTTAAAAAGGGTTGTACCAACGATTCAGTTTCATCAACAACTGAAGAATCAAATGTAATATTAGACTACGATGGGAAACACCACATCAATTGTATGTGTGGCATGTGACTAACTCCAAAAGAAAGGGAACATGAGAACAAGGTTGCTTGCAGAAATATGAGATTAACATACTTAAGAGGAGCTCCTGCAGTTTTTCTTTAAATCATGAGCTCTTTATTGCCACCCTCGATATCATTCAGTCATGTATCTCTTGTTTAATAGAATACATTAATATCCCAACTTTTCTGTAAAAAGAATGGACGTGAACCAGACCTCCATGGCTGACCTGGGTTTCAAACTGGGGTCTCCCCACCTTTCAGCCTGGCACTTCCAAACCAGCACCTTCATTCAAGGATGGACTAAAACACCCATCACCCACAGCCACGCCTTACCTCACTACCTCATTCTGCGGTAGAAATAGCCGCATGGCGAATCCTACCTGTTTCCCTTAATGGTTTCTATCTATATAGCTCTAATTAATTTGGATTAAAAATCCCTGCTTTTCAATGAATTCGAATTATACACTGCTTCTCTTTAATCCGGATTAAAGCTCAGTGGAGCCCGCCCGTGCACCCCCTTCCCCGAGCAATTAATAACGTAGAAGGAACGAACACAGAGAAAGAGAAAAATAAAAAAGCCTCACTCTGAGTATTAAAAAAGGAGTAAAACCGGCGGGCGCGCACGCCCTCTGCAAATGTTTCACCGCCGCCATCTTCAGAAGGAACTTGCTGCTCGGCGCGCAGGCGCACTACTAGGCCCGCCCCTCTGAAGACCCCTCGCGGCCGCCACCTTGGGAAGGGATTGAAGAAAGATGCAGAAAAGCGCCTGCGCGTCTCTCTCTCTCTCTCTCTCTCTCTCCTGCTATCGCTACCTTGCTTCTTGTGGGGCAGCCCCAACGGCTGATTGGTTGTCGAACCACTTTTGCGTCATCAGAGCCCTTCCCCTGAGATCCCGCGGGCGGGTTGGTTTTCTTTTTTTTTTTAAAGCTACGGCAAGGGAATTTATTTGCTTAAGCCAGTATTGTCCAAACTATGGGGTCACGAAGAGTCGGACACGACTTAACGACTAAACAACTACAAAGATGAGTGGACTTCAACTCCCAGAATTCCCCAGCCAGCATGGCTGGCTGGGAAATTCTGGGAATTGAAGTCCACTCATTTTAAAGTGGCCAAGTTTGGACAACACTAGCTTAAGGCTTTCTTTCTGATTTATTCATCCATTGGTTGACCCGATGCATGTGTACATGTAGCCAATGAGTTGTATTTATGGGAAGTGGGGGGGATGGTGAAAGGAGAGGATTTCAGGTTGCAAACCAGATTCGACCCTTCCTGCTTTCGAAAACAAGCTGTACCATCTGGTTTTTCAAAGTGGCTGCAAAACTCAGCAATCTGCACCCCATAAACGTTGGAGGAGGTTGATATAATCTGGAATTGCGCCGTGGACTCCACGGTTAATTGCACCGTGGAATCTACCCATACAATTAACTTAACAAGCAGCTACTTGAGTGAATGATTTATTTGCCAAGACTTAATCATCTCGAATTGAACAAAAACCACATCGTGACTTCTCAGATCATAAAAACAATCTATGACATGAGCAGTGTAGAATTTCTGGTATGTGCACACAGCTGTAAAAATAAGAGAGGTTTTTTCCCCCCAGTTACGCTTCCTATATTAACTGAGCCTTCTCAGAAAGAAAGAAAAAAAGAGAGATTCTAATCATCTCTGTTATTTTGCTTTATCAAAGATGCAAGCAAAACTGTGCTAAAGGCTCACTGCAATTTCCCTATAGCTGAACCATAACTTTTACCGCCAGAAGAAAGTCTATATAATTGTATTCATTCTGTGTGTTGATGATCCATCAAACAGGCCTTGGTTTTGGAATCCTGCACACCCCAATAATTAAGCTTCTAGATGGGGCGTGTTCAGAAGAGCCTCTTTTGCTGTTCCAAGAAGCTGAGCAAAGGATGGGAACAGCATTGCACTGTAAGTTCCACTCCTTTGGGTCATGCGTTTGTCATGTTGATGAATTCTGTACAAATGCAGTGAAACCCGGGAACATTCCCAAACTGGGAACCTGTGTTTTTTTGGGTGGGGGGAGTTCAACCCCACTCCAAACAGGCTTTATTTCATTCTCAATCCAACTTCCTCTCTCCCCACCATCCTCAGCAATAGGATGGATTTTAGAGGCTTTCCTTACATGCAAAGGTCCTGATTCTCATAGATGTTGTTTGTCAAAGGACACCTGTAAATACTGGGGAGATTATTAAGATGTCCTTGCACCCCTCCAGATAGAGATGGGCTCTACCTGGGAGAGGTGTTTTCATCTATGGTGCACAGTCCTATCATGCATACATTGCACTCTTCCAAGCTAAATATCTATTATGAACTGCAATGTCCCTAATGCCATCTATGGCTGGTAGGCTATATAGTGTGATGGGTCTATCTAGTTTAGGCCTCCCCTAAACTAAATACCTTAGGGCAGTGTTTCTCAACCTTGGCAACTTTAAGACCTGTGGACTTCAACTCCCAGGGCTGGGGAATTCTGGGAGTTGAAGTCCACAGGTCTTACTGTTGCCAAGGTTGAGAAACACTGCCTTAGGGGCATGCAAATTGACCCTGATCCAAATGGGTGATCCAATTTGGGAAGTCAGTTCCATATGATGCATCAAATCAGTTGGGCCAGTTCAGATCTCTGGATCGTTTTGGTATCTGCAAAAGTCTTTCTGAAATGTTAATTCAGAGGTGTACAGTTGGATGTGACGGTTCAAACCCAAATTGTCAATTCCATCCAGAAGTCAAATTTCAGATCCGTTCTGAACTGGAACGTTGCAGAAACCCATCAAATAACCTGGCATGCCATCCTTATATTGTGAGATTATGAAGCGTTCTATCATGATACAATGCAGGTACAAGTGCTAAGCAAGGATCATGGGTTGGACTACTTTCCACTGACTCTATGAAATATCCCAGTTGCCCAAACTATACTGCTGTAGCTTTGAGTGTGTGGGCTCTACATGAAGTTGCTCTCTTCAAAGTGGACAGGCCAGCCAGAAGGGTCACAGCTGATAAGAATTTGTTGCTGTCCTGTCTGAGTCCAATACTGACACTGGCCTTGTGCCGTCCCCTGCAGATTGCAGGTGGTGACGGATAAGAGGGCCTTGCTGAGCCGTAAAGCTCTGCGATAATGAGTCCCAGCCCAGCTGCAGATGTCCTTCAGCTGGTTGTGAGGGGCGTGGACAAAACTGTTGGTGTTCTTGCAGGGCCTGGTCATGCCCCTTTGTAGCATCATCACCGTGCAGTAATCGTGCCCCACAACTTTGGTTTGGGGGAAGTCTTGGTGCTGCTTCAGAAACTTCTTGTGCCGAGGATTCTGGGAGAAGACTTGGCTTGCAATCACACAGGATGCCATCAGCAGGAAGACCATCAGGGAGACCCTTTTTTTCAGAACCAGAAGCATGGCTGATTTCAGATGGGCCTGAGACCAGGAAAGAAAATAAGGGGATCAGGGCAGATCTGCCCAGTTTGTTGCTGGCTAAAATAAAAGCAATTCAAACAACTGTCCTGGAGACCTTCAACATGACCATATCCCACCATGGCACTGAAGATGTCATCAAGGCCATCATGTTCCATTTGATAGGAGAAAATTTGTGCAGAACAAGGATTAAAGGAAATCTGTGCTACTTTAACAATGTATACTACTATGAAATAATAAAAAGTATGAATTAGTTTCTGGCACTGTGACAACTGTGTAAATTGTAGTGCTAAGCTTGGGACATGTTTTGTGATCTTTCTCAAGCTAGTGCCTTCTGGATATTCTGAGGGTCAACGCACAGAACTTAGAATCATCAAATCATGGAGTCAAAAGAGACAAGGAGAATCCTGTAGTTCCAACCATGAGAGGTGGCTATCCAGATTCTTTTTAAAAACCACCAGCGATGGAGTGTGGCACGTATCACCCTCGTCAACCAAATTGTCTCTTTAACAGTGCAGAATGGAGGAGGAATCACTATCCTACTTTCCATCTTGATTCTGCTGCTGTTATGCACAAAAAATGGTTAAAGGCCACTCTTTTTGGGACAGTCTGAGCTAATTACCCATATAATTCTTTCCAATGACTCTGGAAAAGTCTGTGCCTTTTCATACACAGTATAAATAGAGAGATACACCGATATTGTAAATCCGTACCTGTTTATGTTTTTCTCCTTCCCTGCTTTGGCCTTTTGTTCCATTTTTAATAGTTAACTGCTTTTGATGTTTGCTGACTTTTAATAAGTAAACTTCAAGCCATATTTTTACTAGCTGCGCTGAGTGGCGTGGTTGCTTGCTCTGATCAAGATATACAGACTGACGGGCATGGGCTGGGTACAAGCTAAATTGGAAATTATCTACAGTAATTTTCCAGCAAGAAGAACCCATAACCTCCAATCTTACCATCAGGAAGTTTTTCCTTATATTTAAAAGAAATTTAGCCAGCTGCAGTGTATAATGTTATTTCTGGTCATAGCTTCTCTGGCCATGGAAAATAGTCTTATCTTCCCTGTAGCTTCCCTTTAGGTACCTCAACACAGCTATCGTGTCTTCTTTAGACCAAGCACCCCCAGTTCCTCATATAATTCCCAGACACTGTGACATCTGGAAGGAAGCAACTTGAAGGATTTATATATGCAGCAGAATGAGGTGATAGAAAGGACCTTAAGTTGCCAATGCATTGGGTGACCTCCATTTCAGAACGTGGTGGAAGATTCTTTAAAATTCTTCCCCAGTATAAATATCCAGCAGGTGGCAACATTTAACTCAGCTTGACTGCTTTGGAAAAACTAAGAAGGGTCAGCTGGTTAGTGCAGAGTGAAGACCATTAGGAAATACTAAAGCTATTAGCAATAGTGAAAAGTAGAAACCAATAGACAAAAGCATTGCTGTGAAGAACTTTGACATCCACATGTTTGTGTGGTCATTAGGAACTGAGTTTGAGTTTAGAGCAGTGTTCCTCAACCTTGACCACTTGAAGATGTGTGGACTTCAACTCCCAGAATTCCCCAGCTAACATGGCTGGCTGGGGAATTCTGGGAGTTGAAGTCCACACATCTTCAAATGGCCAAGGTTGAGGAACTTTGGTTTAGAGTATCTAGCTTGGGGGGAGGCTGTAAAGCATCAGCTCCCTGTAACCAAGACAGCTTACAAACATACGCCGCCTAGTTCTGTGCATGCTTGGTTGGGCATCAGCCCTCATGAAATCCACTGCAGAAGTCCCACTTTAAAAATAAAAGAGTGCACTGTTGCAGTAAAGCCAAGAGGAAGTCATTTACCTAAAGTGCAAGATAACTTAAAGATAGCACTTTCCATGCTAAAGTTGTTGTTTTTTTTTAAGTGCCAGAGGCATGTTTCGAGGAGAACAATTTGAGGATAGTCACCAGTTTCTATGACATTTTGCCTGGGTGGCCTGATCTACTTTTGGTACGTGACAAATGCGTCTCTGCAAGGATGCCTTGCGATGATCGAGACTAGATGGCAACAGTGAAAAAGTGATCTGCTGTCATGAAGCAGAAAGAGGGGGGGGGAGTAGGAAAATTTGTTGAGTTATTTAATTAACTGCAATACCTACCCCACCCTCCACCTATTCCCTCCCTTCAACAACATCCCTGTGCGGTAGGTTGGGCTGAGAGAGAAATTTGCCCAAATTAAGCTACTGAGCTCCCAGGCTGAGGAAAGACTAGAACGGGAGTTTCCCCACTCCTGGTCCAACAGCTTAATCCCTCCAGCAGCCTGGCTGCTTGGTGGACCGGACAGGGAAGAGGAAGAAGTTTTTCCGAAGAGCGTCGCACGGATAGAATTGCCATCTGTAGCCTGCAAACATCCTGGTGAGACGTGGGATGGGAAAGAAAGACGTGAAACTCTTAACTCTTTGCAGCATTTCTTCTTTATGTATATTGGATTGTATTTTTAATCCTGTTCTTTGTTTGATATCCTGAGCTGCTCAGGATTGTGTGGGAGTGGGGCGACACCTAAATCTAAATAAATAAAATAAATCCTGTGAGTAAAATGCTCTTTCAATGTTCAGCGGTCTCCCTCTCCCTGCAGGCAAAGAAATTCTAAAACCATAATTGTGTCCAGGTTTCATTTCTTTAGCCAGGCTGAATGAAACTGGGCTTTAAATGTAAGAAACAAAGTTGTTGTTTTTTTTTTTTTGGCTGGGAGGGACAACTTAGCCCTCTCCAGGTTCTTCTGAAGGACAGATCTCTGCCTGTGCCCCTACCCATGCTGTGGTGGGCTTCCAGGGCTTACAAATGCAAAACATTTGGAGGGCACCAACTCACCTTTTCCTGATTTAGAGTTCTCAGCCTGCAAACCTCCTCCCCGCAAAAATACAGGACTCGCCTCCAAGGAATAAGCACAATTGAGAGTCAAGCCAGAAGACGCCTACATTTTCTTCTGCTTTCTGGGGCTCTTTATACATCCCTTGGCCAAGGGTTGGGGGAAGATTACAGTGATCACTTAGAACTGGACAGAACCGGTGGACAACATGTGCAGAAAGGAAAAAGACGGTTGGGATTAAAAAGAGCACATTATTCAAGGGTTTCTTTCTTCACCTGTAAACATGCTGCTGTTCCCTGACTCTCAATTGTTTTTTCCAGGCATGTGATTCTTGGTTTCTTTGACCTCTCAACTGATCAAGAAATGCCAGCAATGATTCTCTTTTTAAGGGATTAAGTAAATTCCTGCTGTTTATGTCCACGGCTACAGATCTGGACAGAGAGGTGGAGATTTAAAGGACATTGGTTTGGTGTGTATTTGAATAAGAATGTATGTAATTTTGCATGTCCAAGCTAGTGTCAAAACCTAGGCTCGGTTCTTCAAAATCTACGTTTCTCCAAAATTTGCAACACAGTTCTCCAAAGTATAGCAGGAAAAGTCTGTGCACAAATATTAGCGGAAGTAATAAGCCACATATTACATTATTAATGTTTTACACTAGAGAAACCCTTTGCAAACCTGGGACACATTAGAAGGAATTACCAACAAAAATGTGCACGTTAGGAGATAACATAGAGAAAAATGTGTGCATTTCAGTGCATAATAAAAATAATAATACAGGCATCAGATTAACTGAGTTTATAGATGGAAAAAGAGAGAGAGAGAGAGAGAGATAAATCCAAGTGGGCAAGGTCACAGAAATGAGAAACTGAAATGGACAGTCAATCATTCCTACTAAGTGGGGCAGTTGTGATAATCAGAGCTAGAACTGGAGATTGGGTTATGTTGAAAAGGAATGTTGTTGGAGATGCAGTGAGGCTAATTCTCCTTCAAAACATACATTTTGAAATCTCTTGAAGTTATGTTATGGAAAGAAATAATTAGACATATACATTTGACTCTGAGACACATTTTGGTATTTTCAGATGTCCATATTATTTTGATCCACATATCTATTACATGGAAATTGATGGCTGGACAATGGAAATGGATTATCTGCACTCTTCTGATTGCTAAGAGATTAGTCCTTCAGGACTTGGAAAATAAATTTGTGGCCCCAATTACTTAGTATCTTGAAGCCCTGATGTTCTTCGTGACTTATGAGAAAGTTGCTTACTGTGATGGAATGCTTCGATGAAGGCCACACTCGGGGAGGTAAGCATTGCCTTTGCCCCCAGCAGGAGTGTGGGAAGGTTAAGAAGATGAGACTGGCACCACCCTAAGGAATTTGCAGGGTTTTTGCTTGCTGGCTTTGAGGAGTGTAGATTCAGTCTGGCAGGATTCTGTCTGTGGCTGGAAGCTAATAAAAGCTATCGAACTAGACCTGTACTGTCTTGTGGAGTTCTTTGGGCTGAACCTGACACTTACAAACATAGATTATGTATGGATGATTATGATGTGTGAAATATGGCCATCCATTATTAAACCCGTGTCTTTACATACATTTATGCCGTGGTGTCCTCAAGGGAGGGTCAAAACAGTCAAGATGGTGGCTATGACTGGATAATTAAAGACCCACTCTTTTTTTTAATGTGCACTAGATGGATGACCCATGTAAAAAAGGGGAGGGGTTTGTTTGCATGGTTGTGGCCACAAACATCACATTTTGGCTCCAGTGTAGACACCCCAGCATGTATGAGAAGCCTTCCATACATAAACGTTTTGTTGCTGTATTCTTTTCCCCACCATCTTCTTTCTTTTCTCTTACAGTGTTGTTTTGCTTTTCCCTTTGTTCTGTTTTATTAAACAAAGCCACATTATTTTTTTAAAAAGGAAGGATGATTTCCCTAAGATTTCTCAATTCTCTGTCACCATGGAGCGGCAACTGAAAGGGAGGTTGTGAAAGACCACCACATTTCCACGTGAAAACTACTTCCTTGTTGGAACAATTTTACAACCCCTCAAAGAGTAACTGCAGCACCCATAAAGCTCCTGTGTGAATTCTTCATTTGGCCTTTGCACCCCACGTGAATTGGACATGCCTGCAGCGAAAGGCATCCACAAATGATTGGGAAACATATGTGTTGATTCCTAGGCTGGACTGCTTGCAGTCTCAAAAAAAAAAGGGTGGGCTAAATGGGGTCTTCCTCTGAAAAAGGGCACAGAGGGAACTCCTGAATGATAAACCATTTCAGATCATTTGTGTCAAGATGCACAAAAGGATCAGATGTTGAGTCACCTGGTAACTAGCGCTTGGCCTAATTTCAAACATTTGCTGCAAGAGATCAGGTTAAACATCTCTCTCAAGCAGGGTTTCCCAACGTGTGAGATGTACCTCCCTTGGGGAGGTGCAGACAGAGTCCAGAGGAGGTGTGAAGAAACTTTTAGTAGTCCATTATTACAATAAATCCACCTTTTCCAAAATTTTATTGTATTGTTTTCATTGTTCATTTGTGTTCATTTTGATGTTTGGATTTTTAGGGGAGATGTGTACGTTAAGATTACACTAAAGGAAGGTGTGATGGCAAAAAGTTTAGGGACCCCTGCTCTAGAGCAAGGTGGGAAGAAGATGGAGGGAGAAGGGGTACAATTTCCTTTCCTTTTGTGGAAGAGGAAAGAGACCAGGTTGGGAACACTGGCAGCATGGAAGCTTGCTAGTGGCCAAATATAGGAGCCCATCAACCTCAGGTAGCCAAAACAAAAAAACTTGGTCTTTATATGTAATTAAGCCTTCTCACCAGACACTGAAGATGCCTTTTGGCGCACTCAAAGGCTATGTTCACAACTTCTGGGAAGAGACAACAGATGACTATGGATGTTCTGACCCAACAGAGAAGTGGCCTTTTGCACAGGTGTCTGGGGGATTGTCACTTCCTGCAATTTTCTCTTAATCATGATTCAGTCAGGGTTGCAGCTGCTTCAGAAGAATTGGGAGCCACCCTTCACCCTTCTGTGCCCCTCTTTCACCACCACCACCCAGTGTGGCCAAGAGGGCTGAAAAGTAAAAATTATCACCAAAAGGGCATTCGCAGAAGAACCCTTTTTTTGGTGGGGCCACTCTAGCTACTTCCTTCATTAGAGGCAAATATCTTGAAGGCATTAGACTGGAGGTGGCTATTTTCACAGAACTCTACAGAACAGGATAGATAACCTGTTTTAAGGAAGACCTTTATTATATAAAACTCTCAGCAGACTTGATGGGATTTATTCAGTGCATTCTTGACATTCTAGAGTGAATAACCTCAAGTGCTGATGATCCTAGCCCTTGTCTTAAGAAATGGACATATTATTCCTTGGGTCAATTTCTATTGGACTGGTCAATATTTGGTCATAGATAGAACAGGAACATACAGGAACAATCCAGTGTACAAGACAATTTTAGTTTTCACCATCTATTGTTCATCAAGCTTTTGATACCATTTTCATGTTTACTGTTCGCTTCTTAATCTCCTATCTTTTATCCCAAAGATATGGCCGGGCAAAACCCACTTTCATAAGTCATATACTTTTGTTATTTCTTGAAATCCTTCTTGGCCAAAACAGGCTGAGCAACCTTCCTCAGGCTGGAACTCCTTTGGTTTGTGACAACATTTTTCCCATATGCCACTGTGGTTTTGTTAAGTAATGGGAGATTGTTAAGTCTTATTCAAGCCATGAGTCACGCTTGGCTCAGCATCAACTAGACAGAAGCTTTGGACATTTTAGTTCAGCTTGTTCCATATACAGTACCCCAGTCCACAGATCTGGATAAGGGTGGTTCTGGATGGTGGGAAAAATGATGACATCTACAGCTACATTTGACTTTACCTGGAAAACCTTTCTAAATATAAGACATTGGGGCAGGGCATCTTTGGGGTGGGTGGGGGGTGGCCAAATATATTAAGATGGTACCTATTAAGATCTGCACCTACATGATCGAAACTCTGCTTTTTATGGGCAATGTAAATAGGCTTTGAAGCTGCATTTGCATCTTGACTTTTTTGACCCCTTCCTCCATTGGATGTCTATGCTGTGGCAGGACAATTAGCTCTTTCTTTTTTTTCACACACAACACACATGCACACATACATCATGTATGCTCAATCCATAGCGGAAAGTAACTTGGATGGGATTCACCCAGTTTGCACATTCCTTATTCAAAAATAGGCACTAATATTTATCTCCTCTTGGCTTAAGGTAAGCAACTGTTCTCTTTAGTCCACGTTATGTTGCTATGAGCCCTACTGGAATTCCCCACTTCTCCCCCCTACAAACTTGTATTAGGGCCACATAACTGGATTGCAATATTCCAGAGTCCCACCAGATGGCAGAAAAGAGACACAGAAGAATGTAATGCACTGTGCCCTCTAGTGATGGCGCATATTTTTGCACTCCAGATCTGTAGCCCTACTTTTAAATAATCTCACGGTTTCCCCATCGGCCCCTTTGCAAACATGCAGCTCACTTCTGAATTCTATCAAAGGATTTTGTCCTAGAGGAAAGGGAAACTGGGAATCACAATGAATGAACCCTTCTAAGCCGTTCGAGGAGAATGTGAAAACTCATTCAACTAACAATGCTGCAAATGGGTGCCACGTCCGTTGCCCAAAACAAGAGGCACTTCTAAAACTTTTAGGGCTGGCAAAATAACAAAGAGAAAACAACTCAGAAAAGACATTCCTGAGGTGCAGGTGGGGAAAGCAAATCACAGAGGGCAATCTGAGACTTAACTCAGTGGCATTGGAGGGTGATTATGGACTTCTTGGTGGGGAATTGGGAAAAGTGAGAACTGGCTCATGGGGACACTGCAAACCAGCTGTCTGTGCTGCAATGGAAAAAAGTTCCATTTCTACCAACAACAACAATAGTCATAGCACCAGTAATAGTAGCAATAATAGAATGCCATTCCATATGCAAACAGAAAGACTTTATTGCGTGAAGCTACTAGAGGGAAGACATTCAGGTGCAGCTTATGAAATAGATCTTTTCCACTTTCCATCCATCCCCAAAATAACATGTACAGTTTCATTCTTGATTTTCAACCAAACATTTCATAAGGGAAAATTATGCTTCAGTTCAATTGCATATCACCAGGAAGGAAAGCAAAAGGTGGCCTGTTTTAAAATGAAAGATGGCCCTGCAAAACATTTCCTAGCAAGAAAGGTGACCCTGTAAACATACTTTGGGCTTATAACACTTTAAACGTCATGACTTCGCACAGACTATCTGAAGAATGGTAGTTTGGGGTAACTGCTGATACTCCTGTACTTCTCCAGTACAGAACTGTTAGCCCCAATTTCCCTCCGAAGGCAGAATAACTGAAATGATGAGGTTAGACAAACCGTATTAGGATTTTGATGGATACAATAGGAAAAGTAATTGTTTGTATTGATCCACAGCCACTAGAAGGCAGTACAGAGCAAAGCAGATAAAGACTGAAATCTAGTGTCATATCTGGGCTGAGTGTCTACGCAGTGGCAGCAAAAGCTTCAGATCAGTGTTTCTCAAACTTGGCAAACTTAAGACATGTGGACTTCAACTCCCAGAATTCCCCAGCC